ACAATGATACCTCTCTCAACAATGTGGAGAGGAAGAAATACTGAAGACAGACAGATCTTTATTGTTTAGTGAAACACGTTCACTTTGTTTGTGTTTGGTTCTAGACATTACATCACTTGGCTTGTCCCAGAACAAGTTGCAGTTATTTATACTGGGCAAAGAGGGATCAGCACATTATTGTCAGCTATGGTTAACTGATTTATTTAATAAATAAAAATACAATAAACCAACGAGCATGCTATGCTTACAGCTCAGAAATTAGCATTTGCTATTCCAACTCTAATTGTTGAAGGAATCGGTTCCAAGCATGCATTTATTTGTTTTTTTTTAAAAAAAAAAGAATTACAACAGTTGTTCTACATGTCTCTCACCAGCGCTCCGACACAATGTTGGTGCTGTTGGAGATTTTGTTTCAATGTTTTATGGGTCCTGACCAGCACAAATATTTCATGCGTCTCACAATGAAAGACATCAGTTCATGACATGAAACCCAACTTGCTCTGCATCAGTAGTTTTCATTTTGATACTTCTGGACTGTGCCCAATGACTGAATGAGTGATTTTATTTATCCATTTGGACATGTCATCTCTTTCAGCGTTTCATTTGACGGCAGAAATACCTCCAAATTTGAAGAAGTGGAAACTTCGAACCATTAAATCTTCGACATAAACCTTTTAAGCTTGCTGAATGTTGCATTTGATCCTACAGAGACGAAGGTAAAAAGGTTACTGGTCTCGGATTGTTTGAACACAGGAACATGAGCGAAGTGATTTATACCCCTGTATTAACAAGAGCCTGGGTTATGGACTTCTACTCTGAGCTGGAAAAAGCAGCAGCAGGCAGTGACGTCATTGACACATAAGAGAGGGTTTGGGATGGATGGATGGAGGGTTGGAATGGAGGGAAATGGAAGAAGTAGAGGAGTTTGGACCCTGTGTGAACCACTGAATTAAAAAAAAAAAAAAAGAATTATGACATACTGCCTTATTTATCCATATGTTGCAAATCATGGCATCTGTTTACAATTTATTTTATTTACTTTGGTGCTGCTTGGCCCGGGTTGATTAACTTTTTCTGTAGTGTTTGTTGTCTTCTGGAGCGGGATTTGATTGGCATTTGGTGACGGCTGTTTGAAGTGAGCGTAGCATTGGCTTTGAAGCTTCTGGGATGAAAGCAGAGCATCCAGATATGACTGGAGGATAATCTAGAAATGAATTTTGGCTGCCTCTGAAGGCGACCGACAGGCGACAAACATGTTACTAGCTGTTGATTAAATGTTACTTGAGATTCAGTGATGCAAGAACACAAAACAGAGATGGAAACTTCTAAATACACATCAGGAAATAAATTAAATATGTTATGTTTAATGACAACAAGCTGTGGGTGTTGGTGAATGAGTAAAGGATCTCTTCTCGTCTGTCATGAGACAGCTCATTTTATTTATGAGCCATCCTGTTTGCAATTAGTGACTTAAATTAATGTTATTAATCTCGCTTTCCCACCATTGCTGCCTTCAGTAGATCTTGAAAGCATTAAATTCATCAAAATGTTTGACATTGCATCAAAATGTGTCAAAAACTATTAAAAACAACTTTAAAAAGTTCACAGTAAAGCCATCCAGCATTATTTGAAGACTGAGCCAGGTAACAGTCTCAAAAAGCAGATAAGTCAATCTGCAGCTTGTCTCAGGTAAAAGTTACATTAGTCAACATTTTGTTGAGATATACACTAATCCCTATTTAATATTCAATATACTTTAAAAAAATATGTGTTCAATATAAAGTCCTCCTGGCAAGTGATAAAATGTGTTTTCTCTCTGGCTAAGTTAATCTTATAAACTAAATGTTTTGCATGTTAATCCTTTCCCATAAAGAATCAAGTAAATGCAGGCTCTTTGACAGCAGAATATTTGCTTCCAGCTTCAAGTTTTTTGATTAAATAAATTACTTCAAGTTTAAACATTCAAATAAAGTAAAAAGTAATGAAATGTAGAACTTGAGTGAAAACTTTGAATACCTTGTTCAAAGTGTGTGTTGTGAAGAAAACGTTTAGTCAGTGATGACACCAGTTGTATACAAATGGGGAAAATAATAGGGATAATAATTTTATATTCAGTTTGCGTACATTTTCTGTGGAAAAATTAAATTGAAACCATTTTTATAAATAAATCTATAAAAAAAATAAACAAACTTAAAATATGTATCTGTTAAACATCGTTTTTAAATGCAGTTTTGATTGTATTTTTAAAATGACATATTTTTAAGGTTTTCGAATCTGTTTTAACCAACAAATTGATGCAAAGAAATTAAAAGTAAAGTATCGCATTGAACATGTTACTGAAATTCTTCATATTTACACTGTGGATAACAGATTGAATTGAAAGTGGATTCTTAAAACAGACAGAGGTAGTCTGCTGCTGAGCCACAGTGCATTCCGTTTCTCTGAAATACCCAGAATTCACTGACATTAGTGACTTTATTTAGATTGTTACAAACACTGACATCTAGTGGCTACAACAACTATTTCTTTTATAACCAGCCACTCTAATAACACAAGCAGAAGCTCAGTCACTGCAGGCTCCCTTCTGTGAGCGAACTACACATGTTCAGTTGAAAAGATATTGCGATGGCTTTTTACTCTGTCTCAAAATCTAAACTTTTAACTGAACAGGAAGATACTCATGAAGCTGAAGTGTTTGGTTGATGGCTTAATTTCCTGATCCACTGATAAAAGTTGTTTTCATATCAGGGGATTTCAGTGATGTCTTTTATATCAGGTAGAGGAAGTTTCATTTCATGTCATTTAGATTTTGGTGTATAATGAAAAGAAATATGGCTGACATCTAAAAAAATTCCTGTAAAGTGACAAAAAAAAAAATGTATATCAGAAGCGAGCAAATCAAATAAGAAGCAAACAATATTATTAAAAATGAAATTATTTATGTGAATGGGGTTTGGTAAGAAGTGTCTCACTGTGAACTTTTTTGCTGCAGGCTATACTGGTTGCAAAGGAAGCACCTTACGGTTTTGGCAGCGATCCCAAAACTCAACCACACTGCTGTGTTTTTGCAGAATTCTGCACACAAAGTTAAGCAAAACTGCAAAAGATTTCACAGCCCAGCTCTGCATCCACAACCAGGAAGCTAAGGTAAGACAAGGTTAGTTTAGATACTGTTGTATATGTGACAAAACTACTCACCTTAAATCAGATATTTCTGTCCTGATGTCAGTTAGAAACTCACAGTGGGGTAATTTGACAGGGTGATGAAAATGTCATTCTGATGGAATCATACTTTGGTTTAGTTCACCTCATGACAATTAGTCACTGCAAATCTGGGTTGCAAACATTTTCTCCATGGTTACATATGGGGAAATATTTACTTTAATGCATTTGTAACCTTCATATTCTAGTATGTATACAAGTATACAACAGGAAGACTGAAGAAATTCAGACCTTTTGCTTAAGCCAAAGCAGTAATAGGCCTACTTTCAGCAAAGTGTAATTAACATATCAGAAGTAAAGCATTTTATATTTTCTTTTTTTCTAATTTTTAAATATTTTATTTCACCTTATTTTTATTTACCATGCTATGCTATTTTATTTCTCTTTATGTTATTCTATTGTACAGCACTTTGGAAATTTTGGTTGTTTTAAATGTGCTCTGTGAATAAACTAAATTCAATTTAAATATATGTGTGAATATATATGCACACACACAGACACACACACACACACACACACACACACACACACACACACACACACACACACACACACACACACACACACACGCACACACACAGCTACATTATTTGCCTCTGAAATGTAAAAACGTAGAGGAACTGTGTTTTAGTCACAGGTTGTGAATTTCATTGCAATTTCAACAGTAGAGGTCAACATCCTCTCCTTCTGTTCTCAGATGTGATGTAACATCACAGATGCTGAAGTATCTCCCCTGTCCCGGAACGGTTTGAATGAACTGCATGATGGGATGAGATTTGCGGTGAAGGTGCAGAATGCTGATCTCAAGTCAGCTGTTAACGGGACTTTTTTTTTCAATGATGCTGCGGGAGTTGCGTGCAGCGGGTGTGAACTGCGCCTGCGTCAAGGTAATACTCAGCCCATACCAGAGAGAGTAGTTCAAAGGAAGAGGGTTCACGTTGTACTATTTCCGTTTTCGCGTGTAATGACTTGTGGCAGGGGTGACAGTGAAGGGCTGGAAAATAGAATAAATGTCCTCATTACTGTTGCCTAAGTGATAAAGTATTTTGTATAGTCTATACTATAGTATTAAGTTTTAGTGTTGTCCTTCACTTGTAAGTCGCTCTGGATAAAAGCCAAATGAGTAGCCTAAATGTAAATGTAAATGTAGACTACTGAAATGTAAATGTATTCATTTTTTATAGCTATATGTTGCCTGCGTTTTTTTATGTTTCTGCAGTGGTTTGCTTTGCTGGGCTGTAAACCGCTACTAAACTGTATGAAATTTGAAGCCTCTTCATAAGTTAGGTTACATCAGAAAGTATTTGGCCAGCTGTGGAAACATACACACTGAAGGAACAATGAGCCTGTGAGAAAACAGCAGACTGTTGATATATTTTTCCTCTGACCTAAACAATCTATTCTTTCTTTTCAGCCTTGCAGACCACAACCTTTTAATTTTTTTTCTAGAACTCCTTAACTGGCCTGAAATCCAATCAAATTGTTGATGCAAAGTAATGCAGTGGTGAAGGCAGTTCTTAAGTAAAAATTTTATTTAAAGATAAATCTGGTTCTAATAAATGCCCTGCATTCAAATTTTTACATAAATCTGGAAAGTAGCTGGTAACTACATCATCTGCAGCGAGTAAAAAGTAAAATATTTCCCTCTGAAAGGACGTGGTGTGGAAGTGTAAGATAAGTTAGACACGTAGGGTGTTAACCATCTTGTTGTTTGAGCAAATGTTGTGTCTTTGGCGATGACCAGTTGCTGCTGCTGCGTGACTTGTAACGTACGCGACGCCGCACCACCTCCTCCTTCTCTCCTCCCTTTGTGCGGTTGACAAGCTCCTTCCTTCTCGGTCGGGACTGGAACACACAGAGGTAAGCTTTGCATCTAATACTGAAATACAACACAGCTGACTTGTTCCTTACCGCACTCCTCTGTCGTTGCCATCGGTCGGCGGATTCTGAACTCCGCAGCTCGTAGCTGTCCGTCTCATCCATCGATTTTTTTAACTGGAGCTGGATGCAGCTCGACGTGCAGCAGAGATGCTAGGCCCGCCGCTTCTACAAACCAAATGCAGTTAGCTTGTTGGCTAATGTCTTGCGGTGCGGTCATTTGACAGTGTGGTGGACGGTGGTCAGCAGTTATTCAGGTAGCAAGCAACAAAGACGCGTCGCTAATTTAAATTTTTACCCCCTTGAAACGTTGTGGGCTCCCTGCCTTTTAACATGTCATAACGTTAGGATACACTTGCCCCCCGTCCACCTTGATAGCTAGCTATTGCTAATCTGTTAGCAGGCGAGGGCAGAGAGATGCTGCCTTTACTGCCGTCATAACCACTTTATCTGAGTCAAGGGACCACTGCTGTATTCACTCTCAAGGGAGACTAGATTTTTCAGTCATTGTAGGTCTGTCTCACAACTGAATCTTCCTGAATTGGACTACAACTGAGGTGGTGCTGAAGGACAGTGATATATCCCAAACTTCGATGCTAGGTCAAGTGCAAGATTTCATTCAAGGTCTTCATCATGCTGTGGGGTTGATGCATCCTTTCAAAGTCATTTGGTGTATTTAAAGACGTAGAGTTTTCTTCGGATTCCTCAGTGACAGGACATTACAGGCTCTACGGCCTCTGACCTTTCAGCCTGCATCTATGTGTGAAAGCCATAAAACTACTCAGGCGCAGTGGGGTGTGTTGGCAGACTGTGCGTGCGTGCGTGTGTGTAAGCACGCGGTGAATGGCTTAGTGGTCAAGCTATTTGTGTGTGTCAACAGGCACTGCAGATACGTGACATTTGTCCACATCCTGTCTAAGTGCTTCCTTATGACTATAGGATATCCATGATGACCAGGTCCAGACTGCTGTTTGGAGGCAGGGGTATCCTGACTGGTTAGGTTTAGGGTAGAGCTGGAACTGGACCTTAGAACATGCAAGGATAGGCATATATTTGTTGTGCCAGAGCTGATATTGCACTTTTTCAGACATTTAAAATTTCAAAAGAAAGCGGTTGGTGCAGTGGCACATGTTTGGCCCAGACAAAGATAAAGAAAGAGAGACTTCATGGGGATATAATGAAGCAGAGGCGACGATCATGTTATAACTGCTGTTAAAGAATGGAATTATTGATAAAAGGTGTGATTGCTCATAAACCTGATTGATGGGCTTGAAGGAAAGAACTGGACAGGAATGTGGAACTAGGAGTGCACTGAAGGAAATACTGTCTGATATAATATTGGTGATTAGTCATTGAAGTAGAGCAACTCTTAGCTAGGCATCTGCTGTTTGCAGTTATTTTAATAGAATGTTGTTTTTTTTTAAAAAAGATTTTCCAATATTATTGAGTTGAGGTATATTGTTTTTGTGCTTAACTCTTATTTTCAATCATACAGAGACATATATTGCAATACTGGAGAATAGTCATAACTCTTGGGAAATGTTAATTGGGAAATTGTACACCCTAAGCTTGCTATTCACCTGGTAACCTGCTCACATTCCTGTTCTATCTTCTATCAATATGAACATGTATGTTATCAATAGGCCTGCGTAACTACTGTACCTTGATAACTGTTGCGAAAAATGGAATTTACATTTATTCTAATGCTGAAATAGACGTGTCTTGCACAACAGGCTGTTCACGAAAATGAAGGACAAAGAGGTGCATACATACATGAGAACAGCCAGTCCAGGGGGTTGGCAAAGTGTCTGCTTTGTGCTTCAGTCTGTGACCCTCATTGTCCTCTCTACACTTGGCTTCTTCCACTTCGAAATGTCAAATTTGATTGATTATAGTGTCAAAGATATCCTTTACTTTCTCAAATGTAAAATAATTAAAAACAGGATGGACACATGAGTAATATATTGTCATATTTTTAAGCTCTTTATCTTTAAAATTTATTTAAAAGATAGAAAGACTGGAAATGAAGGACTATTTGCAAATATGAGGCCTGTATACAAGCCAGCCTCTGTACTGTCAGGAATGCAAGTTTGAAGGAATGTGCACGCTCAAGTGTGAGTCACTGTGTTCCTGTGTGTAGCTCATACAAGCCAATAACTTCATCAGATTGGTACTTTTCCTATCCATCAATGACCTCTAAATGCTTTTGCCTTCCCCTTTCAACAGCACTGCTCTCTGCCCAAGCACATCACATCTGATCTGTCAGTCTACTGTTACTGTGTTACTGTGAGCCCTGACTATCCTAAAGCTGTGACACAGAGGGAGGATAGCAGTGATGGCTGTATTTTTTTTTTTTTTTCGTTTTCTGCCTTTTTCTTAGTCTCAGCCTTTAATCGTCAACTTGTGTTTTGCAGATAATGGCTGTACCTCCCACCTACGTTGACCTTGGAAAGTCTGCCAGGGATGTTTTTACCAAGGGATATGGTAAGCCATTCATCCTCACTTATTTGATCAACTTCTACAGCACTGTGATTTAGGAGAAAAAGGTTTGAATCACAGTTAAACACTGCCATGATGGGCAGCCTACGGTAACACTTGCTTCATGAAGGTGATTCTGAGATGCAAAATATTTTACTAAATGATCCTCTGGTGTAACTGGAGACATGACCTTTGGTACAGCACAATACATTTTCAGAGAACAGAAATCAGTTGTACAATATAAAGTAAATGCGTTATGAAGCACTTTCAGTTTCAGAGACTTAAATAGAGATCAATTTGAGAAACAAAAGTGCATGGAGTCAAAGCCATTTGCTCACAATTAGAGCGCACCATGTTGTGTGTACACATGTGTCTTTGTTTAATTGTAGAACAGCCATAAAGACTTTGCAAAGCTCCTCCAGAGCCACAGAAATCATATTACAACTGTTTTCACAGCCTCTACCAGCTGACTTGGGGTATTACCTTGTTAGTGCTAATGGGTGTCTTACTCAGGGCATTTTTAAAATAAGACTTGAGACTCTTCATTACATATTAGTGTCTTCAGTTAATGTTTTGGTGTATTTTGGTGGAATTGTTTTTTAGGTTAAGCATTTTTATACCCCCTGCCACAGGAAGAAATATTTAATGATTTATCATTCTTTACTCTGGAAGACCAGCACCGTGTTGCTATGTTGTGCTGTGAGATTTCTTGTAAAATTCAGTGCGACACTTCCTCTCAGGGAGCGTTAAAATCAAGCCCCTACATGCAAAGCAATGTTGACCAGAATGCCAAATGAAATCAATTAAAACCAGTTGCTGTACCATCTATAGCCTACCATTAGCTGAACACATTTGGAGGTGGAGTACAGAACTGGCAGTCAGAGTGCATGTCCTCAGAGTGTGTTTTGTGTATACACACAGCTGTGTGGCTCCAAGGGTTTCTGAATAATGTCCACTTAATATCTAGCGAATTCCCAGTTATTAGAGCAGCCTGATTCATATGTACCATGACGCCTGAACCTCAGTAAGTTTGGCAGTGACTGTAATTGATTACTGTGGGTTTTTACTGCAGGCTTAGGGAGTGATCATACAGAACATTTTGAGTCTATCACCTTCACAGAAAAGCCTCAAAATTGAAAGCAGTTGAATAGTTGTGCAGCTGGTGACCATTTTGTAGGGTGGGAACAGCAGCTTTGGATGAAAGTTGGACAGTAATGGGTGAATCATTAGAGGGTTTAGTGAAGGGGAAGCTGGGATGAGTGAGGAATCATATCATGTGAGGTATGGTTGGGTCAGTCAGTTGGATGTGATTCTGAATTCTGAGAAGGGCCATGAATGGGGTTTTAGGCTCCAGCCAGCCTCTGAACTGCTATATATATACATATATATATATATATATATGTATATATATATGTATATATATATATATATATATATTTATATATCAATACACACTTTCAGTCAGTGGCATTTAAATAACTTTAAATGCGCTCTGGAGGCTGATAAACGGGTATTTCTCAGACACCAATCAATGACTTGATTGAAAGAGTTGTGAACTATCTTTAAATGTGTATTAATAGAAAGTTTTGGTACACATGCTAATGAGTATTGGCATTAAAGTTGCATTTGATGTGAGGGCTATGTGATGTTTTTAGCTGATGTAGAGAAGCCTTCTGCACTCCAATAATAACATGTTTCTGAGTGGTTATCATTGACTTGGTAATATTTTTGTTGTCATCCAGACATCATTTTGATCTCTTATTAAATATTGTCTGTTTCAGGCTTCGGGCTCATAAAGCTGGACTTGAAAACAAAGTCTGAGAATGGACTGGTAAGTCGTCGCCAGTCATTATCAGATTATCAGAGCTGCGAACCCCTGACAGCAGCTGTCCTATCATAGCTTAAGAGGCTCTTGGCTGATTATCAACAGGCAGGTTATTTGATCTCCTAAACATTGCCAGGACACATTGGCTACTGTTAGCTGGCTGCTTTGGTTTTAAAATGAGTTTAAGAAAATGTTATGTTAAAGCTATGGCTTCAAATTACTATGTTTTAATTTAGTTTTTATAGTAATAATAAAGGTAAGGGTGTAAGTACAACTTCATGTGAACTCCTGCTCCTTGTTTTACTGAAGCTGCCATGTTTGCTTTTTTCATTTGTTGTGATGAAATTGATTTCCTGAACTTGTAATTTTTTTCTTTTCAAAGGTATTATTAGTTATATAGCTCCGGTGAAAATCCCAGATTGGCTCGACACCAAAGTTTAGTTAGTCATTAATTTGTTCAAGAGCTATCTATTGACTGAATTTCTTGATAATCTGTTTTCTGATCTTCTTGTCATCATGATTTGTTACCTTGTTACACAAATTGTACTGAACCAATTTGCATATAGCTTGGTTGGAGGGGTGGGGCATTTGGGCTGGGGGAAAACCGATTAAATTTCGAGGCAGATCAGATTAAAGGGGCAATCCAGAAATTTGTATCACTGTCCTTAACATTGTACGATTGGGTATTTTTCAACATTTTCATCAGTTTTTCAGAAAATAATGTAGGAATCTTGATGTAAAAAATCAAACATATTTATGGTGTAGAGATCTGTGACTTTGTACATGTTGGTGCAGAGCAACACAGTAATCTGGGTCTTGAGGAAGAAAATGTTTGGCCTGGAGGTGTGCGCTCTACTGATGCCATTCTAGTTAATTAGTCGTTTTAGACACATTTTGTGGAGGGTTTACAGGGCTACATCACTGTATAAAACCCTATGTAAAAACCTGATGCAAATATATTTTGGTACACGACTTTAAGGATAAGATGAATATAACATAATAATGTGACCCTGAAAACCTATTCATATCATCTGCAGGAGTTCACCAGCACAGGCTCTGCCAATACTGAGACCAGCAAGGTTGCTGGATCCCTGGAGACCAAGTACAAGTGGTCGGAACATGGACTCACCTTCACAGAGAAGTGGAACACCGACAACACCCTGGGAACAGAGATCACCCTTGAAGACCAGGTCGGTAACTAAACTAAAACCTAATTTCTTAAGCCACTTTCTGTAGCATGCAAAAAGTCTCTGAGGAGCAGCATATGTTCCCTTTTCTGTATTCACTAAGGTCTATCACTCAAGTAGTGGATGTAGTGCCATTTGCCTTGTTGTAAAATCTATCTTACTTTTTCCACAGTTGGCTAAGGGGCTGAAGTTGACGTTTGATTCCTCTTTCTCACCAAACACCGGGTAAGGACCACAGAATGAGAGTCTTTAAATGTAGATCATTTCAGTAAGAAATCTAGAGTTAAGTGGAATGACGATTAACACACGTTACAGCTACAGTGAATAGGTACAAATAATACATTTAAAAATAGAATTCAGCTTTACAATGATATTTTATTCTTACAGCAGGTTGAGTCAGCAGTTTATTAGAAAGCGTTTTGGTACTGTCCAATTGTTATTTTACCTTTCCTGGATCATTTTCTCTTTTCTGAAAGTGTGAATGGGTTCATGTCTGTTTGTTTCATAGCCTGAAGCAGAAAAGAAGGATGCTGTATACTATTTAGCTAGCTCAATAAATAAATACATTTTATCAAGTAAACATGTAAGTTTCTTGGCCTCTTTATTAAAAGTAATGTTACATGTCAGCTGCCAATTTAATAACCTATACCTACAAGGTTAAACAGCTTGTTATGTGAGGCTGCTACAGGGTCCTGAAGCCATGTCAGTCATGGTGCTGTATGGGGAAAGAAATAAAGGGCATATTGCAAAGACCACTAGTAATAGACATTAACAGTCTGTCCCCTCTCTCTTATATCTTGTTAGCAAGAAGAGCGGCAAGATCAAGACAGGCTACAAGTGTGACCACATCAACCTTGGCTGTGACGTTCACTATGACATCAATGGTACAGCCATCCATGGTGCAGCAGTGGTGGGCTACGAGGGCTGGCTGGCCGGCTACCAGATGACCTTTGAGGCCGGCAGGAACAGGATCACCCAGAGCAACTTTGCGGTTGGATACAAGACTGACGAGTTCCAGCTCCATACGAATGTGTAAGACTACATGAAGCAGAAGATTGACATGAATAATATATATGCTGGCATATATCCCTCTACACATAGTAATGCACAGTTGAACCAATATGGTGTCCCTTCATCTCTGTATAGTGTAAGTTTATGAACAGGCTGATATACCGTAACCACAGTGTAGTTCGTTTGAATTCAAATTTAAAGTAGCAGAAAATGAATACTATGCTAATGCTACCCTGATGCTTAATTCTAAAGCTGCACATGTGAGAGAAAATAAAATTAGTAGGGGTGTGTGTGATTGAAAATAATTATCATTGAAACATTGCTGAATAAGCACCTAGACACTACCTCAGTCCATTTTGTATTTATATTTTTAAAACAAAATGTTACATTCTGATACTAAGTTTGTGTTTCTGTCCTGTGGTACTTGAACCCAAGTCACAGGCTAAAAAGTGAGTCCAGACAATTAACCTTGCCTAGACTGAGGCCTTCCAACTCTGTTTTCTTCTCCTTGTCTGGCAACTAACTTGTTGCCTGCTTGGCTGTCTGCCGCTCACCCAGGTGCCTGGCAGTTATTTTTACACCCAGGTGATGGGATTTGCTATATTGCAAGTGAGATGGAGTGAATGGTTGGCAGCCATAAAGGGCTTCAGTGAAACGGCAGAGTGAGGTAATGCCAGACAGTGAGAGAGAAAGGGAGGGACAGGGCACGATGTTAGTCTTTCCTGCTGTGTCCTTGGCCAAGCCTGTCGGTTTCAGTCTACAGCTGAAGCAGTGATGTGAGGTCAGATGAAGTGTAATGAAGGCTTTATATCAGTGGCAGTGCACCCATCTGAGGAGGTCTTTAACAGGCGTGCAAAATACCAATTATGGTAAACGTAGTGTACAAAACACAGAACCGTTATTTGCCAAGTTGAGAGGAAAATATAAGCTGTAGGGAAACATTTTTTTTGTAGTGGTACCATTTACTTACAGTCCAATCTGCTGTTTTTCCGCAGAAATGATGGCACTGAGTTTGGTGGCTCCATCTACCAGAAGGTGAATGACCAGCTGGAGACTGCCGTCAATCTGGCCTGGACTGCTGGAAACAGCAACACCCGCTTTGGCATTGCTGCCAAGTATCAGATTGATCCTGATGCATCCTTCACTGTGAGTAGTATTTTAAACCTGAAGTAGTAATTGTAGTGATGTAGTCTGTTGTAATGTAATGTAATCTGCCTCTCTAACTGGCACTGTGGTGTAATGCTCACTCAAGTGTCATGTGGTACAGAAGCTAGTGAAACCAGCTCCTTCCTGTTATTATTTTCTTATTCTCTCGCATTAGAGACACATTCTTGGTGTCATCAATATAAACTAACATGCAATACGACTAGTCATGTTTCCTTGTTTATATCTGGGTCACAGTCTTTACCTAGTTAACCAACTTGGAAGGATGACTTAAGTCCATGTGAACACATCACGCTGAGTTGAATCTGAGAGCAGCCTCCTCCAAGCCAAAATGGCCAATGGGAGTAGTCTTTCTGCCACAGAAAGGCCCAGGCTAATTTAGTCTCGTCGTCTGGTCTGTCACATTAGTTCTTAAATCCCACTTGCAGCAGAGCCAATTAGTGTGAATGGTTGTTTTGTTTGTTAATTATATGTATTCTAACAACTATTATTAACAAGTAAATAATATGGCCATGCCATTCTGAAGTGAAACTGCTTCAGTGGCGGCACTTTTAAATCACAGTATCGGTTTCAGAGTTCAAAATGAATCACAGGTTCGTTTTTGTTGACATTTAGCTTGGAGCAGGCAATACCCAGAATTGGCATTATAAATGTATCTGCTAATAATATGAGTGTACTCTGCATGATTAAAAACATTTTTTTATTTGTTGTTCTTATACAGGCCAAGGTGAACAACTCCAGCCTCGTTGGCCTGGGCTACACTCAGACCCTGAAGCCAGGTGAGTGCAGTCTGTAAATAACTTCACTTAAGTGTTTTGTAGTTTGAATTAGTCATATTCTGAGCAGTGCAATTTAGATGTGTACTGTATGTGGATTATTTCAACCAAAGTATGAGAACTAAAGTCAATTTTAGACATAAAAAAATTATGGATTCCTAGTAGTTTTTGTGGCATTGCACAAATGCAAAAAGAACAGTTACTGAAAGTGATAAGCAACAGTAGCAACACACATCAGATAAAGATGGGGTTTGGAATTTTTTGCTGGAGGGAAATTGACAAGATGAAGTGGAGAGGTGGGTTCTTCAGTCAGCCAACACCCTGTGTAATGTTTGGAGAGGTGTACATGATGTATACATTTACACATGATTTCCTTGTCGGTGAATTACTTATCCTTGTTGTGTCTGTTTCTGCAGGCATCAAGCTGACACTCTCCGCTCTCCTTGATGGCAAGAACATTAATGCTGGTGGCCACAAGCTTGGTCTTGGCCTCGAGTTCCAAGCGTAGGAGGAGCAGACAGATACCCTTCCAGTCCTCCCAGCGCACATGCATTCCCCACCAAAAAAATAAAAATCCAAATCCTTTATTGATTTAGCTAGCCCTCACAAAACCCTTGTTTCCCCTAGACGTGCTACAGCTGGAAGCAAGGCAGCATAAAGGTTAAATTGTTCTGACGATCTACCACTTTTAAAGGACCACTTTAAGGGAACATTATATTTTGAAAATAACGAGCCCAGTTCAGAACAAAACTTCAACCGTTTAACAGAAACTTTTATCTTGAATTGTGTAGCTTGCAAGGGAAAAGTAGCCTTGAGTACACTCGTGTTGGCCTCACTCTTTGTCATTTCACTATATTCATACACAACGCTTTAATTTGTGTGTGTCTCTCTGCTTTCCAATGCAGATAAAAGGGAAGATCAAAACTAGTTCAGCCCAAAATGCAAAAAGGGCTTGAGACACAGCGTACAGTTGAGTAGTCACACCACCAGAGGGTGCTGTTGCATTGCACCACTAAGCACTCCCCACTCAAAAGAAGTAGTGGTGAAATAATTTTATTTGATCACTTTTGCACTGGAGAGCTCGAGTGTTTGTCTGGATATATTATAAAATGGGAAGGGTTAGTTGTCCCTGATGTAAGCGGCTGTCAGTAGCTCAAAGAGACACTACACCCCAATGCGTACATTCTGTGTTTTCGTCTCACTTGTCTTTTGTGTCTGTGCATTGGTGTGAATCATGTCTTTTGTTACATATAGCAAAAAGAATATTATTTTATTGACAGTCTTGCATAGTTGAATCCACCTATGAAGTCTTAACTGTCAATTCTTCCTGGTCGAGCAAACGAAAGGAAACCTATCACGCGCACAGTTGAACATCTCTCGATAAGTATTTCTTTGAAGGAGAATGAAAAGAGTAAATACAGTGGACAGGAAATGGCAGTCTTCCACAACTGGTTATGGGAATCATGCTTAGTGTACTTGACAGTATTGTCATTCCCTGAAATAAATAAAGAATATCTTGAACCAGTGTCTGATTGTATTTGTCCCTGTGTCTTTTCTCACATGACCTACATCTTATGATTATAACTTCAACCGATGTTTATTTAAAATTCTGTGCAACTGAGTATATTTGATAAGCATTTCAATTGTCAAGATCAGGAGTGAAAAACTCAGGCCATGATGACTGATTTTGAACATTGCCTTATGTAACTCGTATTTCCTACATAGGGTTTCATTTAACAAGATGAGAAAGTGATTGTAAAGCCCTTGACATTGATGTTAGAGTGGGAACACTGAATACTCACCAGATGTCTATATATGATGTTCTCTGTTATGGACTGTCTTTAACCATAATGCTCTGAAGTCCAGGAGACCTTATTTTATCCCATGTTTTAAAATTGCTTATGAACATGATTTTTGAACTGATCACGTTTCAGAAGCCTAAAGAGAAAATAATGCATTTTTGCATGGGGTCTTAGAGACCTGTGCTGTAAAACGTGGTTAAGTTTAATGGATTATTATATGCTTTATATCTGGGACTGGCGTTGACAGTAATTTTTGAATCAATCGATTATTGTCCAGCGCATTGATAATGAAAATGATTACTGGCTGCAACCTTACAGTTCTCCTATGATCAAGTAATACTACCTTGTCTGAGGTTTTTTCGTGTTCATTACTTTACACAGAAAAAATGGAAGTAGCTCAATAAATCTTTACAACCAATGAGAATAATATAAAGTAAAACAATGAATATCTTACACTACATTTTGACACAGTCTCTCTACAACACCAGAACCACAAGATGGATGATGGAGAACCCATCGTAGAGCAGATTATCTAAACCTGGGGCTTTTGGGGTTTTCTTAGCAGTTGCCCACTTTGCCCATGGATGTACATCCACGTCTTTGCCCGGTTGGTAGTCCAGCCTGGACGTCATACAACATGTGACTCTGAAGTCAAATTATTTATTTGGAGGGTGACAACACATTAGAAGCAACTGACATTAGTTACCACTCAATGACTCAGACCTCTTGCATCTGATTTACAAAACTTAATCACACACTTACTCATTCTCTCACAGCGTTGCCAGGTTAAGCGGATTGTTATAATTTGGGCTTTGTTTGTTTCTTTTTTTTTTTTACCATGAGAGCGATTTCCACATTTGAAAGATATATTCCAGAATTTTTCAAACTATAGGTAGCTTAAAACGCTTTGTGTCAAAAATCAGAGTCATAACTAGATTCAGTGTGACCTACACTTCCCGTGGATATCAAGATCTCTAAAGTCCGTCGAAAAAAAACGTCCAAAAAATTTCTTACATATCAGAAAAAGAAGCTCCATATAACTACAGAACTGGCCTGAGAATCATCAGGTTTTTAAGTTTTTTTCAGTATCAGAGAAATTCACGGACAGTTGTGAGTATATCCATGGGTACATTGCAAACAGAAACTGTTGATAGTCAATTCGGCGTCGTTCCTTTTTCTAAAATAAATATTGGCTTGTAAATGCTCTGCTGTTATATCTGGTTGTGTGAGTGAACAATGTTTTATGTGACCTTATCCGAATTGGGTTATTTTTACGACGATTGGGCAGGTTTTACGCTCTGGCTAAACTACTTTTTTCAGTCAGATCTGGCAACACACACGCCCTGTGTGTATGCAGCCCCAATGCTAAACCACGCCTCCTCAGTTACTCGCTCATCAACATGGCGACATGCAGGAAGATGGGGCGAAGCAACAGAAATGTTTGTGCTCTTTCTTTGGTTATTTTCCTCCAACTGTTAGCCAGCGGGTGTCTGTCAGCTCCAGTAAATGTAACAGGTATGTAAAACATATATTAATTATCTGAGATGATGACTGGTTTTTAACCAACCAACAGGACTGTTAGTTATCGAGCTAGCCAGTGTCAGGTAGCTAACGTTAGTGTAGCTAGTTGGCTAGTACGTCATGCTAGCAATTACGGTGTCAGGTGAGAAGGGCAACGACAGGCAGTCTGTATGCCCCGGAAAAGTCATAAAACAGTATTTTCAAACTCGCGTCCTTATCAAAGTATTACAGTACAATTCAACTAAGTAATTTTTCCGAGTATGTTATAAATGTGACGACCCCGTCTTGTTTAAAAAATGTTCCGCCTAAGGATTGTCAGTTGAAACGTACTTACCTAAACACCTACCTGTTTAGAAGTTATGTGGACATTTATTTTAATTCTAAATTTGTATTTGTACTTCAAACCTCACAACCAACGTAAACCTGTACTAGCTAAAAGATTTGACCAGTTAACTTAAATGTCTGTTGTGGTCTACTTTGTGATTCCACCAGCCCCGGGGGCTCCGGAGCTGCAATGATTTGTGGTGGTCAGATGGAGTGACTTGGTCCAGATGTTCTTGTCATATATCTGAGCTGGTAATTAACCCCCCTCTCAGTCCAAGAGTCACACCACTCATTAAAGAAAATCCTTTAGCAGTTTACCGTCAAAGAACTGCGGCCTCAGTAAAGGCTGTAAAATTGTTTTCAATGACACTGGACTTTGACTGTGTTGTGTATGTAGTATATTGACATAACTCTATTAAGGCAAGATCAGCAGTGATGATTTCTGTGCCTGTGCTTTCTATTCTTTTCAAATGATTTTATGTATGTCATGTTACTGCCTGTTTGGACAGCTGTCAGGTTGCAGCATTGTGTTCCCATCGGAATAAGTCACTGGTTTATTTCCTCTTCATAATATAACTGTGCCACACTGTCACTCTCATCATACTCAATACTCTGAAACAGCTTATTTCTGGATGTATCATAGAGGTGAACACTGATGCACAATACTGCATATACATTTTCCAAGAAGATCAAAAACCTTTGTGTGTCATAGGCAAGTCAGTTTCTGTATAGCATATATAACATACACAATGTCTCTGTTGTAGCCTGCAAAATCTGTAACTGATTGTTGCATTTACTGACTTAAAACCACATCATATTTTGAAGCATTTAAAGTTACATAAACTGTTTACAGTTACAGTTACAACTCTAATGGTTGGTTTTGGTTCATGAAATCAGAAATCATCATGTGGATGTTCCCTTGGGCTTTCTTCTTGTATGTTTTCAAACTGGAAAGCATTGTGGGGAACCAAAAAATGTATGGAAAGCAGAAGGTTCACCCTAAGTCTGTCAGCCCGCTACATACCCACTACATATTTATTTTACTTTAAATCATACAAGTATTAAATGTTTAATCTGAATAAACCTAATGCGAGAGCCAAAGTTTGTGAGAGTAAATTTAGAGTGGAGGAAGACGCTTTTGGGGGTTTAAGGAAATATTATAAACATGCATTGTCATTAATATTGAGACATTTGTCAAGAGTGCCCCACCTGCTTAGTCTCAAAAGCTGAATTTCCTACATACTGTTTCATGCCGCAAAGCCTGTGACTGTTGGTTCTACAAAGATCTCCTGTTCAGTGATGATTATTCATGCTGCCCATGGCCAATGTGAATGAATGGTCCCTTTCTTCTCATGGGTACGTCTACTCTGTGCTTAAAGTCCCGAGTCTTATCCTTGCGTCCTAAGCAACGCCTCCTAATCCCACAGGATGAAATAATGTTGACACTTGTTGGTTAAATGGTGTCATTGATTCAGGAGAGCCAGATGCATTAGAATAAGTTCAGTCCTCATTTAAAGACACAGTCAGGAACTGATTTAGCTGTGGAGATACTTGAGTTTAAAAATTTCATTCCCTTTTTTAAGAAACTGAAAATGTCACTTATACTGTAACCTTTATAAACTTAAACAGGCTCCAAAATTGGAAACCTGGCTAATGCTGACATGTATTCAAGGCCCCTGTTAAAAGATCTGTCATTTAATCAAATGTCTTCATTGCAGTAAATAACAAAAAATTATATGGTGGGCTGACACAAGCTTTTTAACATGGTATAGTATAGAATAACACATCACATTGCGTTATAAAGGAGAAAAGGCGCCTCATAACACAATTGTTTCATTGTTGGCTGTGGTCATGGGAGTAGGGCAAGCTGTAGGGGAATACATGTCTTCACACAATTACACACGAACAAGCTCCTGTTTATTACGAATGTCCACTTAGAGGGTTTGCAGCCTTGCCCAAGGGCATTTTTAGATGGGAGTCTCTGAGTAGGAGGGCAAGCTCATTTCCTCAGCCATAGATGCTTGTGTGATCACACAGTGTGGTTGTATGACACCTTGAATACCTGTAGAAAGAGTACAAAGTCAGTTCATCTGTAAATGAAAGAATATTAATTTTCTGTTATTTCCTATAACTAAATTAACTGGCTGTGATGGAGTTATCAGTATGTTACTTTAGATGAAAGTTCACCTCCTGAAATGGTTTGAAACTGAAAAATCTGAATTAATTTGGACTGAATTATTAGCCAGTAAACCCACTGCCAGTTTATTAGCCAGTAAAGCCCCCCCTGATTGAAAATGCAAATTTTGTTTAGCATGCAAACATTTCAAGTTGATATGGTTAAGTGTTTTTAAATAATATATTGTTACCCTTCTTTTTGTAACCTAATATATAATGTCTTGCATTGTTATTATACTTAATTTACAGATAATCCGGGGGGAATCGTGTCTCAAACTCTTACCACTGTGGACAAGACAGCAAGTGAGACAAAGCCTTCACCGCCTGAACAGAGCACAGAAAATGTACCAGATCTCAAGAGCCCTACAACAGAGGCTCCCAAAATCAACACCCCAATACCTAATGAAGCAACGTCTAACCAGAATGCGAATTTGCACCAAGTCTCCATCATTGCTACCTCTGCAGATAAACAGCAGCCAGAACCTGTGAGCAAAGGGGCCGATAACACAAATGTTACCCCACACAGCGTTGTGGCAACAAATGAACCTGCTGTGTCTGAAGCCACTTCAGCCTCTACTCCAGAAGCTACCACCACCTCTGTCAAAGCCCCTGAAACAGCCAAACCTGTAATGGAAGAGTCAGAAATACCTACCCCTGACTCCAAACCCCCCAATGGACAGAATCCACCCACATCACAGGACACTGAACCGGACACTGAACCGGACACTGAACCGGACACTGAACCAGACCCACTGCAGACGGCTGAAAAAGGACCAGCACTTGAGAGCAATGAGGATTTGAATGGTTACGAAAATGAGGGCAACAAAGATGACGAAGAGTACGACGAAGACCAAGGTATCTGGGAGGAGGGTGACAACAATGAGAACACGGTAAACATTGGCAGCGTGTTCGACAATGACACTGATGATGGTAAAGACCAGACCTTGAACAGGCACCAGCAGTCAGACAGGATGGAGGTGACTCCTTACAGTGGCAGAGATCGCTACAACACAGAGGATGAGGACTCCCACTTCTTCTTTCATCTGGTCATCCTGGCTTTCCTGGTGGCCATCGTCTACATAACTTATCACAACAAGAGGAAGGTGAGTGTTGGCATAACAACAGCTGGGCAGCTCCTCAGGATGTAGAGGCTAGAGATGATGATATTACCTCAGCAGTAATTTGTGATAGTTGTTAAGACAACATGTAATTGTAATCTCAGATGAATAAACACTAAACAAAGGATTCTCTAATTACGTTACAAACATAAAACACTTGTATTTTGTTTGGGGGTAAAACCTTCATCCTTCAACAGATTTTCAATAAAACCCCTGGTGGTTCTATTCTTCATTTGTACTGTAGAATATATGATCATAGCCAAGCATATAGCACAGGTCAGTATTCTGGTGAAGAACATGCAGGCTTTTTTTTCTTTCAGGAGGCATGAGCTCTTTCTCTGTCAAATCTACAGAGGAAGGTTCTATAATGTATATTATATTGGCCTCATGTAAAATTGGGTTTTGCAGCCTAAGTAAGGATTCCAATTATATAGCCTTTCATCTTTTCTGCTAGCCTGTCAACCAAGAAATATTTTTTACTTGATCAGCACTGGTACATCAATCACATTAATTTGATTTCTATCTGCATTTTGCTTCTTTTTTCTTCTTTTCAGATCTTCCTCCTGGCTCAGAGTCGGCGCTGGAAGGACAGTCTGTGTTCCCGCAACAATGTGGAGTATCACCGCCTGGACCAGAACGTCAACGAAGCCATGCCGTCCCTCAAGATGACCCGAGACTACATTTTTTGATCCACGTTCAGAGGACTGATATGTCCATATCACCTGGACAGAGCCTGTTGGCCTTCCTTCCTGGCCACTTGTATTTTCGAGATGCTGTGCTTTGTCGTGGAGCTTGATTGATGCTTTCTCTTGCTTTACAGACCAGTTGGACAGCAGGGGGTGATGTGTCCTGGAAAGATCCTGAACATAGCTCTACCCCAAAGAAGTAGAGTTACGTTCTGGATTTCCTTGTTGTCTGCATAGAGAGATTTTTACTCTTCAGCTGTTATTCTTATTTGTTATGTCTTAATGTTATTTCTATTTTGTTTTTCTAAATTGATAACTTCTTGGGATTTAATATTGTGGTTTATTAGGGATCTGGTCCCTCGACACCTTTTTTTTTTTTTTCCTTCTTGCATAATGTCTTAATATTATGTCATACTCAATTTAATAGTTGGAAGAATTACATGCTAATGTAACTTTTAGGTCATGATATAATGCTTAATTATAACGGGATTATATTCCCCAAGATTAATAATAGATTTCTCTCTCAGCAAATTTTGAAGATATGAATTGACACACACAACATTTGTTTTCAAAGCACTTGTTGTGTCATGCATACTTTTGTAATGTAAAAGGTGTAAGTATGCAAACAAAGCAGCAATCTAGGAGAAGCAGATGCGTATATATAAACAATTGCAGTCATTCCAAAAACTGTTCCTCACTCATGTTGAAATGGTCTGTTTGTCATAGATCTACTGAAAGTAAACTACTGTACAATATATAAAAAAGAAACATTGGAGAAATATATAAAGTTGAGATATTTCTATGTTTCATATGAAATTTTTCGATTATTATTATTATTTTTTTTACCATCACCTATAATTTCTCTTACACCTTTGCAGAAGATGCAAAATAGCCTTTTCGTTTTGATTTTACATTATGTAAGAAATGTAAAACTTCTTACATGTTGGGAAATTAAGCTGCACGTTAAGCATTAAATCAAGGAAGGTGACTACTCTTCAGGCGAGGGGTATGTCCATGTGCTTAAGCCATTTAAATGAAGACAGATACTGCATATTGTTCAGGTTAAAATGTACTAATATTGTGTGGAAGAAGCTTTTATTACCAGACTTTTTCCTTCTTCATTAGTTTATATTTGACTTGTCTTATATGGTACCTCTTCTACTTCTACTGCCCAGATTTTGCTATGCAGAAATCCTGGGGCTGGCCCTCTTTGTTTTATGACTTCGGTGAAGTCTCTATCAATCATTTATTGTCTTCATTGTGGCAAAAAGTGACGGCTGTGTTCCCTCCTGCTCACACAGAAATTATGATTTTTAGTTACCTCCTGTCAAAGTATAAAGTTGGACTGTTTTTTGTTAACAGAAATTTAGCACGCTCTGTGTGACCTGACGCTCTCATGAGCATGGAATAAAAAACACACACCAGCCGCACCATATTGATGTTCCAACCCATGAGTACTAAGTATTATTACATGACTATTACGTACTCGTGGGTTGGACCACATCCACCTTTGAACTCATTTTGATCTCAACTACACACCTGTAAAGTTTTGTGACTGTATCTACAGTTGTGACGCTATCACGGTGACAAAATTTGTCCGCAGATGTAAACACCCGCTAAAGTACTCAGTCGTGTCTGTGTTAGTACCTGCTACGCAGACTCGCAAGAACAAAACAGTAATAATGTGGTAAAAAGACCACTTTTTTTTTTTTGTCACTGGCACTCTTCCCTATCCATCACAGCCACGTTTTTTTTCTGCCCGTTGCCGTCTTATGCCTTCAATTAACTTGCCATAACTGCCACATGAATCCACATATTTGTTACTCATCTCTTGTCGCCTTCTGCCAGTTTTCCTCTGTCTTGTCTGTATGCAAGGTACACAGTGGGTAGGTAGATGATGCGATTTGCACTGTGCCATTCAGTCATACTAGCTAGAATATGAGGGGTGGGAGGTGTCCTGTGTAGAGGTGATGGGTCAACACTGCTCTTGCAATCAACACTAGAGACTGTACAATCTCTCTTTTTTTTGTCAATAAAGCACAAATTGTGTAAGGAGTCCACCCTGTATCCTTCATTTCTGTGGGTTGATTCCTCTATGTTTGTCCAGCTCAAGTGATAAATATAAGATAGTCTTTTTCTGGCAGATTTTTTGAGTCAGATCAAGAAAGTATTTATATCATAGTCTCATGTGATCTGGCTCTTCATGTGGTAAATGCTGAGCTTAATTGTGTTGGCATAACTAACCAGACTGGACACTGCCTGCTAGACATTCACTTTGATCTACTTTGATCATATTAGGCTCAGAGGTTGTATCCTTTCGTTATATCAGCCAGACTTAGCTGAAACATTGCGGTTAAAAGCTATTAGATATTTATAAAGCTAAAAGCAGTTGAAAAGATGTTTAGATTTTAGAACACACATCTATATTTAACAAAAGGGAAAGTATACTTTGCAAAAGAGCACATTCTCTAGGTGCAGTTCTTAAACTTAATACTAAATGATAACTGAAATAAAAAGAAACTGCTTCAGGTTCAATGACCACAAGTTTTCATTTCAAGCTGTCAAGTAATTGAGATGAACTGACATGGAGAGGCAGACTCCAGTACCTGGACTGCTAAAAGGTAAAATAAGTAACTTCACCACAAGGAGGCAGTATGCACACACAAATGAGAGGATCAGTCAAACCGCTGTGTTACAGTCACCAGATTTTCTGCTGTGTCCTTTGACAAATTGAATGATAGTGGCATCGTACCTCATACTGAGAACGAGACAAGGCAGCAAGCATGTCTTGAGTGTGTGTAACTGACTCCACATCAAATTGTTGCCTGCACAAATAAAAATGTAATTTTTCATTTGGTATTCCATTCCTTTCCCCCCTATGTGTGACACAAATAACACATCAGCATAATAAAGGGGAATTTGAGCTGAAAAACCTCCAACAATTTTACACCTTTTTTCTGACAATGTGTGCTGGGAACCATATGTGCCATGATTTCCCCCGAATCTCTCAGAAACACCAAAGGGAGAAAAACTGAGGCTCTGTGTCTCTCCGATTCAGAATCTTTAATGTCACACAACACGACTGAAATGGATTTTCAGGACAGCAAAAAATATAAAAAGTTTATCACGGCATGTCTTGTCTTTTAAAGTTTGTAAACCAAGACAGATGGAAGCAGAGAGAAAGAAAGGCAGACCAAGTTGGACATGCATATCTTTGACTGTCTAGTTTTTTGATTAATGGCTGTCACAGTCTGTTCTTTGAGCAGAATTCTTCCTAATGTGCTACAGACCCACACTGAAACACTGCCTTGACAGAAGCCAGCAAAATCCTTCTTAAATCTTTCCACTGTTAAAGTTCAGCACCACATGAGGGAATTCATTCCAACAAGGTATATACAACCAGGAAGAGTTGATCACCTCGAAAGTGTACAGCTGAAATTATATTTAACAGACAATTTTATCTCCATGCTAGCAGTCATTTTGTCAGAGCACAGCTTTTCAAAGAGGGGATAAATTTATATATATAAATTTAATTCATTTTACTTTGAAATGAATCTATTAGAATCGACTAAACCAACAAATATGGTTCAAAGGAAACAAGATATGTTCATGATCTGATGCCTACTGAGCAGAATTTTGCAGTAATATAGAGCAGAAAAATAGAACGTTATCCTCAGTGTTCACTACCCATTGTTTAGATAATATGGTAAATTAAATTAAAACACAAATTAAACCAAAAAAAAGTGTTGTTGTAGGGTAGAACCTGTGACAGAAAATGAGAGAAAATCACTTTAACCAGCTTAATTTGATGTGATAATATAAACTGAAGTTGGATTTGGGTGTAACACACAGTTACTACATATTAATCTCTGTTTCTGTGGGTTAGACAGAGAAGAGTGTGAAAGGTCAGAGTTTTGACCCCTTTGTGTCCTTTTTCGAAGTCTTAAGATACCGAACTCCCACCTGCTAATTCATCACAAGCTGTGCTGCATAAAAGCATCTGCCAGGCGCCTTAAATGTGAAACCTGTGGATGAAAAAGCAGGAAGTGATGGCTGCTGGCTGCGTGTCATCAACAGATAAGATAACCAGGCTTTGTGGATATTTGTACAAAGTTATGCCGTGCGAATCTATCTGAAAGACAGCAGCAAATGAAATCTACCAGCCGGAAAATCTCACAACTACTTTTGATCACTGAAGGGTGAAGATCTTGACAATGGTTATCCAGTGGCTTTTGAAAAGGGGTTTCTAACTTTCAGATAAGAAATTTCTCAAGAGAACAACATCCTTCAGTTGAGGTTCCTAGAAAATATTGAAATTAAAATTCACTTTAGAGTCCAATCAGCCTGATTTGCTATGACATTTGCTTAGAAAACAGCTATGTTTTCATACAAAGAATGTGGTGCAAACATCATGACACAGAGATAATCTTTACTGATCTTCAGCTGTGAATTTGCTTTGAAAATGGGTCCAATATGTTGGAATGAAATTCGATCTAACACAAAAAAAAAAAAAAAGCTAAAAATGCTCCAAAATAATCTGTTAGGATACCCGGTGGATTCTCTAATTTATTCTAATCAAATGAATAAAATTCCGAATAATAAATTATTTCTCACATTATCATCTCTGCATCATTGATCACACAAAAATACTCAGAAATTAAGCTCCCACTCCCTCTATTAAGGTGATAAATATTCTGATTTATGAGAGGTGTCATTCTGGTTGCCTGCTGTAAACCAAGAGAAGAAAACATCACAGATTTCTGTTTGTGACTTTATGAACATAAGCTCTCATGTTGAGGGAATAATTAAATATCTAATATTTTTCAGTGTTGCAAATCATCTCAAATTAATGTCTACAACAAAACCTCAGCCTTTGCTTTAATTTATTATACCAAAAACGTCTTGAGAGTCTTCTTCATTATGACAGTAGAAGAGGGAGGCAAATACCAGCAACACCACACATGTCTGAAAGTTTTTCTTTCCAGCAGAAAGAGCACTAATGTCCTACCGTGGTAAGGAGAAAAAAAAACTGGCAAGGCAATCCAACCAACCTAAAGCACTGCTGGCATTGTGAAGCTTTATGGGAATAATTTGCACAGCTGGAGTGCATCTTTCACCAATCGGATTGCTTGTGTGAAACTATCCATCAAGGACAATTCTGACAGATATTGACTGACTTTGCCTTCTCCGTAATAATTTCTGTATTTTCAGCATCGACTGGATTAGGTTGGCTCCGTTCTTATAACTCACATTCCAGCAGGTATCCGTTTTTTTTTTTTTTCAACTAAAGACATCAATATATCGAACAGCAGGAGACCTGGAGGTATAACAGATAAAACAGCTGGGCTAAGGCCCGAGCTTATCAAAGCGCACGCTGCAGTGATCAGACCACAGGGTCTGGCCCATTAGCTACATCACCTGTAAGAGGTCAAGGGGAGGACTCTCACACTGATGGGTCCTGCTCAAGAATGGGTTTTTCTGCAGCTTTGGATTTGACCAGATACTGTATATAAGCTAGTGTTTTAAACGGGGGTGGGGGGGTGGGGGTCAGTCAAATATCAAAATATGGGGCAGTGCAATAAGGTCAGTTCAGCAAATGAACATCCCTAAAAAACTGAAAACTCATCTCTTCCAAGAGCACTCCCCTTCCTAAAATCCTAACACGTCTAACTTGCACTTACTATGCACTTTTGGTGCGCTCCTTTAATACAGTCTCCTTGCACTTATTAAATAAATGTAGTACTTAATATTTACACTAAGGTTCCTACTGCACTGAAGCTTACTGATGTCCTTCACTTGTAAGTCGCTTTGGATAAAAGCATCTGCCAAATGAAAAAATGTAAATGTAAATGTAAAAAGTTTTTTTGTACAGTATCTGGTCTTGCACAAGATACTGAGCCTAATACCTAATGTTATTTCAAAAAACCATTATGGTTCAACAGGAAGACATATAATGGTTATTTATGGGGACTTTGGGAAGTGCTACCTGGGAAAGAAAATAAATGAGTAACAATCTTCCCTCATCAGCTCATTCCATCTAGCCGGTCAGCAGCCTTCAGTAACACACTGTGGTTACAGTGTCCTGGTACCAGTACACTGAGTCGCTGGATTAGGTTGGCCTGGTTCTTATAACTCACATTATAGCAGGTATCTGTTTTGTTTTTTTTGTTTTGTTTTGTTTTGGAATAGCAAGAATAGATTTCTTGCTATTCTAAGAAATTTTTATAAAACATCAAAGCTGTTGAATAGGGCTACAAATAACTGCGCTGAGTACGGGTTCTGGCACCACTTCATGCAAGGTGCATGAAGGAAGGAAGCCGTCTTGAAGGATCAAAGCTCCAACAACACGATAGTTACGAAAGAGTGACACCTTTCAGCCCCACAGGTCTAAATTGTGTTATATAATAAAGTTGCTCTCAATACTACAAGTGTTAGTGGAGTTTTTATCCTGCAGTATTACAGTACCCAGTGCAAAGTGTTACTTGAGTTTATCTAACAAGTGACTTAAAGTGGTAATCTTGAAAATTTCCATTTAAATAAGTGTCTTTTAAGTCAATATCTGTCATTGAATGAGGTAACACAATGGTGACTGAGCCTATGATCCACTGATGAAATCATATAGAAGACCCAGTTTTTATGAACTTGGTGTCTGGTATGACTCACGCTCAAAATCACAAGGTACACGAGTCACCAACACAAAGTGAGTGACGTGTGTTCCATCACCAAAACCTGGCAACGTGGAGATCTTTGGGATTGCTGCTTTAAGAGTCTTGTTGCATACGTGTTTGGGGCTTTTCTTCCTGCTACATGCTGGGAAGCTTCCCACTACACTTATCCCCCAGGGACGCCACAATGCTTTCTAAATGAGTCCTGGGGTTTTTTTTTTTTTGGTGGCACAGAGAGAAAGGGAGTTTTTTTTTTTTAGGAGTTTCTGTCTCTTGGATGGACTGAGATTCATTCAATCTCTCAAGACGTTTGGTTGCATTTCAGGCAGCACTGTGAGCTGATGTTCATAGTTCCCCTAAATGGAAATGCAAACATAAGAAATGTAG